GGCAACTTCAGGGCCCTGGATGCTGTCCACGGGCTAAGAAGAGAACACAGGCTCAGGGTCAGACAGACAGACTGACCTCCTGGCCCCACTGTGTCCCGTGAGACAAGGCCCGCGACCTCCCCCAGCCTCAGTTTCCCCACCTGTAAACAGTGATAGTTACACCAACTGAGCAACTTGCTGTGAGCTCAAGTGAGATAACGTGTGGCAACAGCTCAGCTTGGTGCCTGGCGCACAGTGGGGACTCAAGCAGTGCCAGTGCGGTGTCATTCATCCTGCAGTGGCGGAGGGGAGCTGGGGACAGTGTTCTGGGGCATCTTGGACAAGAGGGTATCCCCGTCAAGAAAGCAGCTCCCAACTGCCTTTGACAGGGTGAACCAGAGACTCCTGCCACTGGGGCTGCACGCTAGTCCCAGAGGGCAATTTCCTCGCCTTCTCCCACATAAATATTATATGCAAGTGTTTTTAAGTAATTTCATCATGAAAAGGAGCGATTTAACATAAGTATTACCCGGGATTCTTCATGAAATATGCATCAAGCAATTAGGTCTAAAAGCGAGAGGTGAGGCCTCGCGCCCTGCTCGGGCCGGCAGCTGTGGGCTGAGTGATGTTTTATTAAAGCCCGTGATTATGGGACGAGGTGGGGCCTGTTATTAGGCTGGCGCGCCAGGCGTGTTTGATGATCCTGGTGATGAGGAGGTGCTTTTTGTGATGATAATGAGCGATATGAAGGCCCTGACAGCACCAGCACCCCCGCCTCAGAGCCTTACGAGACTCATTAGACAGGTCAGCCACCAGAGACACCCCTGATTGTGACTTGGCTCTCACAAGATGTCCTATCAAAGGAGACAGGGCTGGCGCAGGAGCTGGACAGGTGGTGGCAGCCTGTCTGAACGCCCCAGGGACCGCTGCCTTTCCGGAGGGAGGGTGGGGAGGTAGGTGGCTGGGACTCGAGGGCCCTGGGTTCTGCTGTAGCCGACGCCCTCCTTGTTGTGTGCATCGGGCCAGAGTGTTGCTATCTCTGAACTCAGTTTCCACCAAAGTGCCCAGGAGGGCGAGGGAGACGGTCCCCGGGCCACTCTGGCTCCAGGGCCGCTGTCCGAGCGGCAGAGCATCCCTGTGCCTGCTGGTTGTCTGGTGCATCCCCAACCCCCGGGAAGCTCTAACTTTTTCACTCCCTGTGCTTGATGTCTTCTGTGTGGAGTTGGGGGTCTACAGCATGTCTGGCAGCTGTTTTTAAATGTTCAGCTGTTGTTAGGTGGCATCTCGTGGCATCCCTGTGGCCAATCAGGACACGTTGTGACAGCACAGCTCTTGGGTGTGTTTTGATGAGGCTTTACCTGACCTTTGCATGAGTCGAGGTTTGACAGGTTGTCTCGGAAAGAAAGCCTGCTCACCTCTCGGAGCCTGCCGGCCCCATGGGTGGGTCACCTCCGTGCCGGGGCTGCGCCGGCCGGGACACGCCATCCCCAGTCCCTGCGATGGCCTCTCACTGCCAGCCCGTGCTGCCTCTGACCCACCATCAGCCGGGCAGCGTCGGCACCTTGGGGACTGTCTCTGGAGCGGGTGGTGCTGAGGTCAGGAGCCCTCGCTCTGGGAAAGGCCTGCAGCGGGGGAAGCAGCAGCACCACTGCCAGCCGCAGTGTGGCCGGGATCAGCCGGGGCGTCGGCGCCTTGGGGACTGTCTCTGGAGCGGGTGGTGCTGAGGTCAGGAGCGAGGGCTCTGGGAAAGGCCTGCAGCGGGGGAAGCAGCAGCACCACTGCCAGCCGCAGTGTGGCCGGGGGTCAGCCTCCTGCCCATTGAGCCTCCGTGCTCAGCACACGGCCTGGCTCACAGGAAGTGCCAGTGAGAGTAGGACAGGGGCACATGGGGTGCGGGGTGTGGTTGCCCTCGGGCCCTTTCCTGCAAGAAGCCTTCGCGGAGTAGACGGAGATTGTGCTTGCACACAGGGACTCCAGAACCGTAGGCCCAGAAGTGCCTTGGAGACCATCCAGTCAGGCTCCCCAGGGATCCGGGGGGATGGGCACAGCCACAGGGCACAGTGCTTGAGCCCAGGAGGACGGCCACTCCTGCAGGGGTTCCCATGGGGAGGCCAGCTTTTGGCCTTCCAACCTGTGCCAGGGAATGGTCAGGCCACGGGCTGAGGCTGGTCACAGGTCCGAGTTCTCTGCCGAACCTCATGACTGGCCTGCCCCATTGGCACAGCCTGGCTCGGTTATAACCTAGCACGTCCTGAAATACAAGCGTCAGACATAGGTCTGGAGGGTCAGGAGGGAGTTCAGAGCTTCCCTGCCTCGCACGCACCATGTCTGTTGAGGGGGGGGCATCACTGTCGCATCTCTAATACCTGGTGGCCGTGCCGACCCCGTGGCCTGGGAGCGGGAACTTCTGCCTCCATTTCTGGCCGAGTCAGCTGTTGCCACCATCGTGGCCACGGCCCTTGCTGGATGTTCTAATGGCAACCTGTGTGAAACTGTCCGGTTAACCCATGAGAGTTACTTTCCTTAATCTCCTTAAACATTAAGTCAGCTCTCCCTGCAGCTGTGTGCCTGCACGCCAGCCTTGGTGCAGACTCGCTCCGGGCCAGCTGCTGCGGTCCTGTCTCACACACCCTACGCTTTGCACTGCAGCTATAGGTGTGTGAGAACATGGTCTGGCACCCCAAAACACGACTCCACTCAGCTCACAAAGGGGCATGATGTGCCCGAGGTCCTGCCCCTCCTGCCTGAGCCTGGACTCACCTGCAGCTCCGGCCCCTTCTCTCCGCACACTCACCCCAAGCTTTTTTAACTGTTCCCTGTTTCCTTAGCCTCATTCAAGCAAGTACGGTCCTTTCCAGGCCGGCAAAGAAAGGCCCGCGGTGTCTCCAGTGCGGTGGGTGGCCGAGTGTTCGCTCGAAGGGGGCTATACATTTTTCATTGCACGCACACCATTTCCTTCCTAACAGCTTAAGCAAGTGCGCCTCCTGCTTCTCAGATGTGTGGAGGCAATTCTCCAGTGAAATGACCCTTCACTGCGGAGCAGAACTTGCCACAGGCTCTGTAATTAGAACATTGTCAGCCTTAAAAAATCTTGATTTAAATTTCAGTTCTTTACAGGAATTATTCTCTCTTGAAACATAATTGCTCTCCAAACGATTTCCTTTAAGCCGAGGGTGACATCTCTAAATACGTTATTACGAGCAGATGTATTGCTCAGTGCCTGCACTTCATTAAGCATTTGCTCTGCCCATTTGAAAATGGTCCCGGAGTCCAAATTGACGCGTTAATAGGACAGGCGCTCATGGCGAGGGGAACCCAGTCCGGACTGGGAGAGGTGTGCAAGCCTGCAGTGCCCCCGGGACCGCAGCCAGAGCTAGAAGAGCCGGAGCTTAGAAAGGAAACCTGTGTCCACACGGAGCTCTCGGCCTCACCAGGGGTGGGCCTTGGTCTCCTGGACGCCAGACCCTGGCCGCAAATTATCAGTGTCCAGACACGATAACTTGGAGGAGGTGTCAGGAGCTCGGAGCCCCAGATTCCTCACTCAGTGGCAGATACTCAGTATATTGGACTGTGCTTTGGAGACCTCAGCATCCACAGATGTGGCAGCAAAATCATAAGGGCCAGGCTTGGAACTGAGTGGGCAGGAAAAGGGCAACCTGGGCAAAGGCAGGTTGGTGGGGGTGAGAGATCCGATGTGGCAAGGGCCCTGGGTGGGAGGTGTGAGCAGTCCTCTCAGCCAGGTGGAAGCAGCATGGCCTCCACACTCCCTGAGCTGCACCCCACCCAGCCTGCTGGTACAGCTGGCAGGCTGCACGGGGCACAGGGCTGTGCTCTGATCTCCAAGGAGCCTGCCCACTGCCCTTTTTAGCAGGTGCTGAGCACGGTGGACACAGACCTTACTCCGTGGAATTCTTAGGAATTCGGGCCCTAACCAGACTGAAGGGTCCCAGGTTTGGAAGGTGGATAAGTAATGTATAATAATAAAAACCGTAATATGCTAATTAGACCAGACATCCTTCTGGACGTCCTTCCGGGACGAAGCTGGACCTACCGCCGTGTCGGCAAGGGAAAGATCAAGGCAGCCGCAGCTGCGAAGACCTACTCTTGCATGAATTTCGTGCATTGGGCCTCTAGTTATAATATAAGAAAGCAGGTGCAGATGGAGGCATGATCCTTCATCATGTGCTGGTCCTCGGTGCAGGCAGAGGACGGAACTCTGCCTGGGGGAGCCTGGAAGGCTTCCCGGCAGAGGAAACACTCAAACTGGGCCTTGGAGAAGGAGGCAGGGTTTGCTGAGCAGAGGGAGGAAGAGGGGAGAGTGCCTACCCAGGGGCAGCTTTGAGAAAGAGCAAATGTTTTCCCTTATTCCATTGGCTAAAACTAATCACATGGGTACAGTGCTGCAGGGAAGCTGGGAAATGTAGTCCCAGCTGGGCAGTCCCTTCCCAGTGACAGTTCCATACTGTATTAAATGGCACAAAGCAAACCCCTCTGCCCACCTACTGCCTGTCATCCCTGCCCCACTTTGTCCTCATCTGAAAACTGGGGGTGATGGCTCCTGCCTGCCCACTTGTCCAGGCATCAGGGACTCACACCAAATACATGACTGCATGAGGGACAGGAAGACGGCCCTCGGTCTTGAGGTGGAAAGACTCCCCTGCAGCAGTGTCTGCTGCTGGTTCCTAGCAGCTGGGACGATGCTGGGACGAGGGGAGCTCTTAGGCACAGCTGCATCTTGGCTCAGCCTGGGCCTTGGTCTTGACTTGCAGAGGTACTTCATGGCTGGGATCTCAGCAAGGAACCTTTGCACCTTAGCAGGGATTGAGCCAGAGTGTAGTTCTCCAGGTAACAGGTGTGAATATGTGACATGTGCTTCTTCACAGCTAAATCTCGAGTGGCTCTCTGAGAAATTGCTTCCCTGGCCCTCAGCCCTCCTGCACCTGTCCCCTGGCCTGAGCAGTATGGCTGCCTTGGCCTTTGTCATCCTGCAGATCCTAATACCCTCTGTGTTTTGTTCACAGGAGCAACCAGGGCTTTATGCACATGAAACTGGCCAAAACCAAAGAGAAGTACATTCTGGGTCAGAACAGCCCCCCGTTCGACAGTGTCCCAGAAGTCATCCATTACTACACCACCAGAAAGCTGCCCATCAAAGGTGCTGAGCACTTGTCCCTCCTCTACCCGGTGGCTGTGCGGACCCTGTGAGAGGACCAGCCTCGCCCTGCGCTCACAGGGCCCAGACCTGGAGGAGCCGGAGTTCCCGCCGACCAGCGTGTCCAGTTCGTGTCGTGTGTATGGTACTGGCACACCACTGCATGTCTCTAGAATGCTGTTGCCACTAAGGGGGCTGGGAAAGGCCTGGATAGAGACAGAGGGACGGCCCACAAGCCACCCCAGCCCCCACCCCCACCCCCTCCTTGAGTTTCTGTGAATTAAAATATTTGCAAATCCAAAGAGATGCCTTGCAGGATGAACAAAGGCAAGCAGCTCCGAGGGGAGGGCACCGCCTGGGTTGCAGCGCTTTGCTTTGTTCTCCCGCTGTCAGGAATTCACACCTGTGCAGGGAGCAGTTTTCCCACCAGGGCCCCACCGTTGTGGGGAGCCGAACGCTGGTGCTGGGAGAGCTGGAAGGCCTGGAGTCCTGCCTCCCCTCTGGTGTGCGTGTGTCTGTGTGTGTGTGTGTGAGTGTGCGCACATCCGTCACACACAGATGTGAGTAAGCCCTCTAATCCACTTTATCACTTGGTGTAATCATTAGATCTTCAAGGAATCATTGTGCGGTCAAAAGAGGATTCAATTATTTATGACTAGGGTGTGTAAATAAAATAGTCATTTAATATGTATTCTCATCCCTTTTTTTGTACCACAGAGGGTCTCTGGGGGGCCAGTGCTCACCGCCGGCGTGTCTCCTGAGCATGGGTGGTGGGAGGGAGGAAGCAGAGCCCAGCTCAGGGCTGAGGCAGTGGGTGGGGCAGAGGAGTTGGCTTTGTCCCCTGAGAGTCAACCTGCAGATCCACGTTCAGGCTCCAGCATGGTCACCTCAAATGTTGACCCAATAACCAGACTCTCCCATTATCTGGCCTGGCAGCCCTGTGAGGCATTTAACATACGGGGAAAAGGAGGCTCCGAGGGAAGGTAACTTGCCCAGGTCACAGCTCATAAGCAGAGGAGGCTCTTGAGCCCAGACTGGCAGACCCTGGCCAGTGCTTTGTCTCTAAGTGGCCTCACTCCTCGCTGTCATCCTGCTCCTGGGAGAAAGCGAATCCTGATTCTCCTGGACGTGAGCCCTGCTGGTCATCCACTGTTTTCACACATAAAACCGCTCCCACACAGCCCGGCCAGTGTGGCTCAGGTGAGCGTCAACCTATGAACCAGGAGGTCACGGTTCGATTCCTGGTCAGGGCACATGCCCGGGTTGCAGGTTCAATCCCCAGTGTGGGGCTGAAACATCATCATTGATGTTTCTCTCTCTCACTCTCCATTCCTCTCTGAAAGCAATAAAAATATAAAGACAAATAAAATAAATTGTTTAAAAAAAAAACACTCCCACACAGACTCCCCTCTGTCTCGTCCCTGCCCTTGTGGGGAGCAGGGATTCTCCCCACATGTTCGGGGCAGACCAGGCTGCTGTTACTCAGCCCCCTCCTTTCCTACCTCCTCACCGCCACACTGGCTGAATGAGGATGGAAGAAGTAGAAGAATCCGCAGCCAGAAAGGCGTTTCCAGTCTCGGTGCCTCCACCAGGCGCCCACCGTCCCGCCTGCCCCCCTGGTCGCGGGAAATGGAAGTTCGGTGACATCCCCGCACGTGGGGCTGAGTTCCAGCAGCATCACCAGCAGGCCTCCGCGTTCGGCACTGCCAGGGCCCCCGAGGCTGGGCTCACTGTCCGGACGTGGAGACGGCCCCTGGAAGGACCAGGACCCGCCGGCGACCCGTCGAGCCGGGCAGAGCGGGCTAAGCTGCGTGGCTTCGGGAGGCTGCCGTGGATTCTAGTGGTTTGTGACCAAAGCCGTGACCTTGGAGACCAGTCTTTCTGCCAGTCCCCCTCTTGGGTCGTCCTCCAGGTGCTGCCCATCAGTCGAGGTGGCCTCCAGCCCCTCCCCCTGTGGGTCCCACAGATCCAACCACCTGGTGGTTACCACGTTGGCTGTGGCCTGAGTCTGGTCTCCGAAGACTCAACCTTGACCTTTCACCTGTTTTATTTTCTTAAATATCCTTTGAGGCAAGAAAGTACCTGGAGTGATTCACGCTTTCCGTGTGTGTGTGTGTGTGTGTGTGTGTGTGTGTGTGTCGGTCAGAATGAGAAAGTGAGTAAGGAGTTGGCACGTGGCCAAACAGAAGTACCAAAGGAGACGGTGCCACGGGGATCCTTAGGGTTAGAGATTGGGGACCTCGGAGGCAGCCTCCGTTTCTCCAGGGCGCTTCCCGCGGCCGCGGGCTGAGCAGCGCGGGGAGCCCTGGTCCTGGGGAGACAGTCCTCCAGGCTTCTCCTCGGAAAGGCTGTGTGCCTTGGGCTGAGGCGAAGCGACACCTGCCCTCCCCCGGCCTCCGCGCTTTTCAGGGGATTCCTGGCCCCCCCTCCTTCCCCTGCGCTTCCTCAAGTCCCCCAGGGAGGCCCCTCAGGGACGGAGGCCAGAGGAGCCGCTTACAGGATGGGAGCAGCTAAAAGGAATTTTTTTCCTTAATTTTATGAACCTCTCCCTCTTCTTCCTCTAATTGTGGCCGTTTCCTCTGTCAGCGTGGATTCATGTTTTCTTGGACATCCAACAATTGAAACGGCTTTTCCCTTTCAGAAACACTCATATTCAGGCGTTAGTTTGGTTTTTGTTTTGGCTTTTGTTTTTTTTCATCTGCTGCCAATTAAAGAGGGGAGAATGAGCTGGATTTCTCTGAGGGAAAAAAGAAAGCTCCTGCCACACAACTGTCGCAGAACACAGCCTCCAGCCACTCAGGCCGCGCTCAGAGCCATGGGACATTTTTCTCCTTTCTTTCCCTTTTTGCCGGCTTCATTATCGGCCATAATGACCCGACCACTTCAACGCCTGTGTCCTTGAGGCCAAGGAGTCCGGGCCTCTTCGCCCCCTCCCCCAAGATGGCACCCACAGGGAGAAGGCTGTGTGGGGAGACGGCCACCTGCCTGCCGGGGAACAGTCACAGGTGCGGACCCCTTCCCCGGGAAGGGAGGCGGTGCCGGCTCCTCGCAGGGCCTCTCTGGGCGGGTGCCCGGCAGCCAGCCTGTGAGCTGTGAGCGAGGCCGCACCCACAGGGGAGCCCTGGGCCTAAATCTGCTTCTGCTGCAGCGACGGCCCCGGAGTCTCGCCTTAAGACTAGGAGCACCAAGCTCTGCTGGCCCTCCAGGACACTCAGACCTGGTGTCGTTCGCCAAGGGCCTCCAGGACAGACGGCTGCTGGGCTGGCGTTTGCTCTCAGACCAGGGACAATGGGTGCGGCAGCCAGCAGGCAGATGGCAGGCTGGCATTCGGAATTGGCCCGTGCCGAGTCCTGGCCGGGCCCAGTGAGCTGCCACATCACTCCTCACCTTCCAGGGTCTGTCACCAGCAAAGACCACAGGCGCACGTGGTTCAGAGGGAGCAGCCTGGCCCCGAGCCTTCGATGAAGGAGCGTCTTCCAGAACCCCACTCGGCGCCCTCGCCTCTCCTCAGTGTCGTGTCCCTGCCAGGAGACTTGCGCCAGCCACCCACAGCTACAGAGCTGCCCTGCGACGCGCTGATTCCGCGTGATGAGCTGAGCAATCATGTCTAGCGCCCGTGAACCTTTTCACAGACAAGTGTCTTGCTTAGATGCGCCTCCCTGGGCACGCATGTTTTATTTCTTAAAAATGCAATCGTGTCCCCAGGAATCCGGTGTGATTGCCTTCTGCTTGCGGAGGTGGAGGTTCTGCCATCATCCCCCAAAGGTGGGTAGTTACAGGGGTAAAGGGAACCCTCCTGCTTCCTAATTAGGAGGAAGGCAGAGCCCTGACGAGCTCGTTAAATGAAAATGAATTCACTTGTTCAGCAAACATTTGTCAAGTGCCCTCTGGTCCGCAGGCCTTGGTGGATAAAGAAGAGAATGGGCCCCCACCCCTACCTTCTGGAAGTTCCCACTGTGGGGAAGACAAACAGGCAACTGCTGGTGATACAGGGGGCCCCAGGGTGCTGCGGAGCCCTGAACAAGAGGGAATTGCGTCTGCTGTCTGCTTGTCGCCATGAGCAAAAGTGGGGCCTCGAGCCCGGAAGCAATTCTTGGGCTCCCTGAAGATTTGGGGAGATGCATGACTGGCACACAATCTCCCGCTGTTTGACTGACTTACTACCCGAGGCCGAGAAGCCTGAGGCAGGAGGACCGAGGGTCTGCAGCCCCAGGCCCTCCTCACACAGTTGAGCACCTGAGGATGCACTGAGCCCCTGCAAGCCAGGAAGCCTGCTCTGGAGTGGACCCCCGACCCCACCTGGCCCTGGAGGAACTCACTGCCTCTCCTGTCCCTCCCTCCCAAGGAGCCCCCGCGCCCCCACTGCCCCCAGGACTCAGGCTTTGGTTCTCCTCTCCTCCCTCCTCTCCCTATTCCAGTGACCCGGAATCCACCCCTCCACTCCCAGGCGCATCAGAGCACGTCCCTGCAGGCACACAAAGGGCTCACCTAGGACGCCTGTGCTCTGTGACCAGGAATTTCCAGAAGGGGAAGGAGAACATGCCTCTGGTGGTCACCTCTCACCTCCTAGTCCATGCTCTGAGGAGTTCTTTATTTCTTTTCAGTTCAATTTAACAAACATTGAGCATGAAAGGAGGGCCCTGGCCGAGCTGGTGACATGGAGCAGCAGGAAGCGGAGGGTGGTTGGACGCCTGCCTCACTGCCTCTGCACGGAGACTCAGCAATGCAGGAAACTGAGGGTCAGAGAGGTACAGGGCCTGGTTCAAGGCCACACAGGCAGTCGCTCTCCACATGCCTCCGGTGTTTGAGGGCGGCCGCTCAGAGGTCACCTTGGCCAGCACAGCTCAGGGAAGACTGGGGCAGGGGTGGGGATTCTTCTCGGAGCTTTGAAGCCAATTGCTTCTCGCTGGCTCCCTCCTGAGTGGGCACAGCCCAGGGCTGTAGTGACCAATGTCATCTCTGGTTTGCGGGACAGTTTTGAAAGGGATGAGGTCTGCCTGGGCAGCAGGGCATCACCAGTGTGGTTCTGGCGCCCTCCTGTGGTCTTTTTCGGTATTGCATCCAGTCCTAGGGGGAGGGGAAGGCAGTTCCAATCCACTGGAGGCCTAAACAGGGAAGAGGCAGGCTTGTAAACAGACACCTGGCAGGCCATGCGGGCTGGTGGGTGATGGGTGCTGAGCCCAGGTACAGACGGCTGAGAAACGGACAGAAGAAGCGACACTCTGAGCCATGTGTCACATGCAGGGAGTAGGGGCATCCCAGGGAGGGAAGCCAGAGTAAGCAAAGGCTGGAGGCCCCCGCTGGCTCCCGGGCCAGTGCTCTCACCTGTTCTACTCTAAGCCCCCCAATTCGTGCCGACTGACGAGGAAGGCGAGGCGGGTGAGAACAGCTCCGTACTGCTCATATCGAAAAATGATTGCCACACTAAGGTGAGTTACACACCCACTGTCTCACATAATTACAATTTTTTGTGGTGAGAACATTTAAAATCTAGTCTCTTAGCAACTTTCAAGTGTACAATTCAGTATTGTAACTATAGTCACCACGATGAAGATTAGATCCTTTGAACTTATTCATCTTGTAACTGTCAGTTTGAACCCTTTGTCCAATGTCTCCCCATTTCCTCTACCCCCTCGCCCCTGGCAACCACCATTCTACTCTTGTTTCTATGAGTTTGGCTTTTTTAGGGTC